TACTGTAAATTAAATGCTGAATGGCAGTTCATGCAGGGAAAGAATATATCAATATTCACATTTTTATTCAAAAACATGAAAATTCTTAATGGAGTACCCTCATTTTTTATTGAATTCCTAAAAAACAATATTTATAATGAATTTTCATAAGTTTTTCGATTTTTTTTTAAGCTTTATTCTGACCGATTCACCTGATTCTCGATCCGGATCGCCGATTCGCCGATCTGGATCGGTTTTTTGGAAGTCGGATCCTAGTCACCGATCCGTTTTTTAAACCATTGATTTTACGGATTGAAATTGTAGGGCAGTAAAGCTTGGGGTACTGCCTTACTAATGAAAGAACTAAAAAAGAACTTAAACAAAAAAAATCAAAATCAGAATTGATCGAAGGGTAATTTTCAAAAAAAAAAAAGTGTTAGATCAACCATCTTTGTAATTTAGTGGAGCATTTTGCATTTTACGTAAAATTTTAAATTCCATACGTAAATGACGCGCTGAACTTTATTGTCTGGGCAAATGAAAAAGGGAAGATGCGGTAGGAAGTGTATTGTTGTCATTTGCGAAATTTAATAAGATTTTTGTTTCTGGTTTGGTTTAGCAGAAACCTGGAATAATTGATGTGAAATTTTTTTCTCATTTTGTTTTTTCACATTATTTAGTGTTGGGAGCCTCGGTAAGTATCCTTATGAGGGAGATGTGGATGGAGTTACGGTGACCTCATCAACCTTTACAAAGACGAAGAACGGCATCAGGATTAAGTCATGGCAGGGGAGTCCCAAAAAGACCCTCGCCAGGAACATGACTTTCGACAATCTGGTCATGAACAATGTTCAAAACCCCATCATAATCGACCAAGAATACTGCCCTAGCAAAAGATGTGGAGCCCAGGTCAATCTCTATCTCTAAGCAACTCTCTTCTCTCTCTAAACAAGTTAATCAACTCTCACTAAACAAGTTGGACATCTCTCTCTCATTTAGTTAAACAATACAGACTCGTTAAACAAGAATTCTCGACATAAAAACACAGACACAAAGGGCTGATCTGATCTTTGAATAGAAAAAACAATGGACATGCTGGGTTTTAAATGAATTGGCTTATTAAAAAAAAAATTTATTATCATAAAGCTCATCTTCATTATGAGAAATGACCACCTTGCTCCAAAATTACCGTTACTTATAGGAAAATCTTGATTCATTGGGCCTTTCGATACAATCAAATAAATTAAGCAATCATCCTCTGTTCTAAATAAGTTAAGCAAAAACTCTCTGGCTCTCCGCAAAACAAGTAGAAATTGGAACTTCACAAGGTTTAAGTTGTAGTGTTCTGAGCCCTCTCTCTACGTACTTTTCTAATGCTCAAAGTCATACACAACCATTTTCTGAATCCTCCATGACACAGACACCATCTTTGGTACAAATCAAGGACGTAACCTTCAAGAACATTAGGGGCACGGCTTCCTCAGAGAACGCAGTGACACTAACATGCAGCTCTGGCTACCCTTGCCAAAACCTTGTTCTCGAAGACATCAACTTCAATTACGATGGCTCTGCGACATGGAACTATGTAAAAGGTCACGAGATTCCGGCGAAGGCCTTCTGCTCGAGCGTCAAGGCCAGCTACAAGGGAGTGCAAATACCTCCCCCTTGCCAGTAGAGCGAGTACAAGGTGGTGGTTGCCTTAGTTACCAGACGCCTGAGGAGCGCAGATGGCTATTGAAGTGGTGGTGACCTGTTTTGTCCGCTCGTTTGGGTTCTCGATTGGGAATGATTTTGGTAGCCAAGATTTAGGAAAAATGGTTTCTTGTGTCCTGGTGGAAGATATTTTTTTTTTTGTACTATCCAGCCACTGTCCTTTTGCCCGAGTTTCTTGGTCTTATATACGAATGCCTTGTTCTACAATGTCGTATGTGTTGCATCTCTCTCTCTCTCTCCCCTCTTACTTTAGTTTTTCAATTTTACTTAAAATAAAAATAGAGGGTAAAGAGATATTTTCTTTTATATATTATCATTATATATATCTTTTTGTGCATAAAATTCTATCAATTTCATAAATGAGTTTTTTATAACCAAATAAATTAAACTATAGATGGCTTGTTGGATCCTCCCGGCACAAATTGGATGCAAGCTATCATACAACCATCAGAACCATTCTAATGTACCAAAAGAGAGACCAACCAACAAAATGTGAAACAAAGTGTGCATTTAATGTACCTAGATAATGGAGAGAGTGAGGAAGAATATGTGGACCTCAAATTCTATGCATAAAGATCATGGCAATTTCTTTGGCAAAAAGAAAGGCAAAGGATACAAACCTTCCTTCCTCTAAACTGTGAACAGTTATAGAAATTGTATTACTATGAATAGTTATAAAAACTGTATATTCATGAATAAATCCATCATTGTAAATCAAGTTTACCTGCGTTCAAATGTCCAAACTCAACTTGCTATCTCTTAACTCATCTAAGTTTGAGGGGGAGTGTGGAAATATAGAAACTTACACATACGTTTAGAAACAATATTTTCTTCTTTTTATGTGTACAATATTTCTTTCTTTTTATGTATACTTATATTAGGAAGATATTTCTGTTATGTCATTTATTGTTCAAATTCAAACGGCTTTGTGTCAAATCATCTCGAGTTTCAGAGAAGTGTGAACAATTATAAAAACTATATAGTAAACAGTTATGGAAATTGTGAACATTCATGTATAAATTTGCCATAAATCAAGTTTGGAAGATAATAGAAACATTATCTTCACATAAACCTCCTCCATATTCAACAGTATATCAAATTACAAGAAAGACCTTCTGTTATAAACATAGATCGCTCAGATTCCCGAGCCAAAGTGAATCAAGAGTCTGGCAATATCGGGCCCAAAACAATCCTTCATGTCTCCCAAATTTTAAGGTTTTTAAAATTTTTTCTGATATATACTCCTATTGACTCATAAATCACCCAATTCAGAACAAGAGAGTGGGAATCGAGGTAGCGTGTAGGGCTAAGAATTTTCCCTAAAGTCCAATTTTCCCTTCATGTATAAGTGATGGACAAGTTGGATTCCTCTCTGTACTAAGAAGAGGTTATTCCCTATCTTTGCAGCACCTTCTAGAAGTTTGGTGATCAGTCTCCTTGTTACGACTTTTTGGATACTTACGGTTTGTAACTTTGCATGAAAAAATTGATGATCCTAAGACCAGCTTTATGCCATTCTCCAAATTTTCTTGTCCGTCGCTTATTTTTGGACGCAATGAATGGGAATTCAATGCATATGAGAGAGAGAAAAATTTAGGGATAGAGAAAGAAAATAAAGATAGTTCTTATAAGTTTAGAGAGAAAAGATGAGAAAAAGTAGATTTAAATATGATTCTAATAGGAGATAAGATGAGAAAAAGTAGACTTAAACAGATTGGGTGGGCATGTACAACATAGACCTAGACTCAGTACAACACTTATTGAGACGTATGAGTTGATTCAAAAAAACAATGGGTATATCCAAAAGGACATGATTGAAATGAGTGATAAAAGATATACGAACTTATAATTTCACTAAAGGTATAATGCTTAATAGAGCATATTGACAAATTAGAATTCGTGTAGCCAACCTCAATAGTTGGAAAAAGATTATAATGATGATGACAATCATAGCAACGCAAAAATGCTAATCAACGCCGCTAGTAAACGTACAAAAAATAAAAATAAAAATTTGCCCTCTCATAACTTCGAAATGAAAAAAAAAAAAAAATTAAAGGATCCTACAATTTTTCACCCTATATCTGGCATAAATGCATTTTATTTTGTTTTCGAGTTTTGCGTAAGAGAGAGAAATGGTCACCACACTCACCACCAACCAAAAACGCATCATTGCCTCTTATTGATTCAATGACTGCAACAGCATCACTTTAGTATTTTTAAAATAAAAATGATGGATCGAATCAGTCATCCACGCAGGATTGGTGACCTGGCTAGGCCAATTTTTTAAAAAAAATTAAATAAAAAACAATCATCTAAAGTTGAAAATGTTTAAATAAATTCTTAAGACAATGATTACAAATAATAGATATTTTTATTAAGAAAAAATTTATATATGGTTGTAACATGTAAAGATACACCTAAAAAATCCATCATAAAATGTTGTTTTAATGTTGGATGTATGAATATGAAAAAAAAAGAAAAAAAAGATTGATTTCCAAATATAGTGCATATTACAACACATTATCTAGATCGTCTATTTTCAAAATTTTTATATATTTATAAATTTACTTGATTTTTACTATTTTTGGAGTTTAACATTTTATAGTTAAAAATAAAAATAGGTTTTAAAAACTTTTTACACCAAATTATACGGTATGATAAAATTTGGAAGTGTGCCTTAATTGGATTGTTTAAGGTGGCAACCAATTCCCAGTCCATTCGCGCGAATCCAGAATTGGGGATAAAATGGGACCGGTTACTTGTGAGTTCCAATTCGACTAGGGCAGTTAGGAGTCAAACTCCCGATTTTTCAAACACTAGCGCAATGGCATCTTGCGTACCGACTTACAAACGAGGAACTTGGAGGGAATTTTCGATTTTAAATATATGAAGTCTACACCATATTCTAGGCCCACGGTGGCCCGGCCCTGGCTACCCTCCCGCTATATTTTGTGGCACAGGCCCTAGTTTCTTTAGGGCTTGGCCGAGACAGGTCAACCAATCCACTGTAGGCCCTAATCAATCCCCATTGAAGCTGGCCAGTTCGGTCCAATTGTTAAATGACTTGCATAAAGGTTCAGGAGAGGCGGTAGTGTGGTTTTATTTTCCAAATCTTACAAGATAAAACTTCTATGTTACCCTTATTCGAGCATCCATTCTGAATTGAGAGTTAAAATTGTCCCAATCACAATGTCACGTCTCATACTATTTTATTTTTCATTTTTTTTCTATAAACTAATTTAACATGAAGTCCAATCCTCTATTGAACTCGCACCAGCGAAAAATATATAAAAAATATATTTCTAATAAAATAAAATGATCAAAATACTCTTGAAAGTTTCAAAAGGTATTTTGGTCAATATATTTTATCAAAAAATTATTTTTAATATTTTTCATAAGTGCGCCCCAATTAAAAGATGACATATGCCAAATTTCATATTCATACAATTGGTATAAAAAAACTAAAAATAAAATACTTTGATACATGAAATGTAAGATCAAACATTGAGGGACTCTCTTGATAAAAACTAAACCTCTGAATAGTAAAAGAAGCATAGATCTTCTATGGACTCTCTTGATAAAAATTAAACCGTTGAATAGTAAAAGAAGCATAGATCTTCTATGTTGTAGGAGGGGAAATGTAAAAACCTTTCCCTTCTTACAATGCGTGAAATTGGGGAAAGGTATTTAGTTTCACCACGTTTTCAAAAGGTAGCTTCTTGAGAGAAACGCTTATTGCAATGTATGGCGTAGGCATGGGTCAACCCAAATTCCAAACCACTATTTCTAGCCGACGAATCTCATCAGCATTTGGCGAGCTTGCAATTGTAAAAAAAACTGTTTGCCCATACTAGGAATTTTGGGTAAAGGAGAAAAAAAACATAGGTTTCTGTTTCTCATTCATTTTCTCCTGTCAAAATGAAAGCTGAAAAGCCCATTTGGCAATTTCTTACCCACTAAAGCATCTAGAGTCATTCAACCATTAATGTTTTCCATGATTAACAATTCACGGTGGTCCCCATAACCGGAGACCATCGCAATCAGCTCATAAGGTCGCATATCATGAACCACACCAAAACATAGTGCATGAAAAAATGCCCATTCAAACTGGAACCACTGGGGCCCAATCGGAACTGGTGGGCTGGCGATCTTGTTATGGGAAAACCGGTAATCATCTAATTCCCGGGATTTTTGAAGAAAGAAAATAAATCTCATCTGTACACCGGTTCGACTTAGAAATCACTGGAGTTGCACCACAATACCCGGAAACAATCTTAATGGTTCAGGGTACACTGGTGAAACCACAAGGAATAATAGGATTCCAAGCAAAAAAGTGAACCCCTTGATCACAATCATTTACCCAAAACCCGTACCGCATCCAGCCACTATAATAGATATAAATATATTAAGCTTAAACAGCAACCTCAAACCATAAAAAGATGTTGACATAGAGATCAAGCACTAGCGCGTTTAAGAAAGAAAATCCATTAAAGGAGCCAAGCAAGAAGTATGTAGCAAAACATCACTATTATATAGTAAAGTTTCACAAAGACTTCAGGCATACATATTATTATTTTATGCTTATTTTCACAAGACTTCAAGCATACATATTATTAATAAAATGTCACTGAGTTATATGGGAAATGATAAAGCGCGCACACACATTTATAGGACACCTAAAAGAAAAAGCCAAGCCAAGTGCCTCTATTGTGCCGTATTAATGTGCTTCTACAGCATGACTGCCCTGATCCTTCTCGATAAAAGCTTCAACATATTGCTTTCTGCGATCCAATGCATAATGCATAAGCATCAATCCCCATCTTGAGCAAAATCTTGTAAAGCTTGTAAAGTCCAGAAGAGAAGCTAAGTTACCTGATAGGGTGGTCATCTTGAGGGCGGTTGTATGGGGTCCATACAGGTTCACCAACAAATAAACGCAGGGCCTGTACAAAAAGAGCAATCAACCAAATATCATAAAACGAAAAATGAGGCCCACTCTCCAAAATTTAAGTTGGTATTCTAATATGAAATAATAAAGGTAAAATAAAATGTTCTATTTATAAAACAAGAGAAATGAATAATTTATAAGGGTTTAATACTTTGGTATGGTTGTCGGAATCCATGGTGAACCGATGATAGATTCCCGCTGGTAACACAATCATGTCTCCTTTCTTCACCCAAATACGAATCCAACGGTCATTGTTGTCCCTAACGTCAAAATAACCTGCAACAATTAAACAATACAGAGCACATCATATTAATATCTAATATAGATATTGCATATATCAATCACACCCTGCTATGTCTTCAAATTCAGTAACTTTGATCAATCAACCTATATGTCTATGTCTATGTATGAACAGATGTGTATTTGGGTGTAACCACAACAAACAAAGAATCATTCCAAGTGTTTGCCTCCTAGCATAGTAGTTAAACAATGTCACAGGTGACAAGTAAAATTACACATAAAAAAAGAATAACAATAAACAATAAATAAATAAAACAAGAAATAAATAAAAAATAATTCCCAAGTTCTTATCTGCAGATTGATTGAATCTTCTATTTCGTTCAAAGTATACAGTGCACAGATTAGAGGACACATACCACTTCCCTCCAAAAGAAAGCGGATCTCTTCATCAGTATGAATATGCTCTTCATAAAAAGATTTCAACTTGCACTCATAGTTTGGCAACTTATCTGGGCAGCACGTGATCAAATCCTACAATCAAAACCATAATCACATTCAGTCTACAACACTGACCCCCTACCCTGCAAGCCCTATCATCTAATATTGGGGTATGTTAATGTGTTCAAGAGACAAACTGAATAAGTATAGCCCCTGGATTCTCGTATCTTGTTGAACTCTTCATCAGTTTCATAGTTATCAGCATCCAAATGCCAGTAGAGAACACCTAGCTCTAAAAAAGGCCAAAAGCAAAGCAAATTTTAGTTATGAATATGGAGATACATTGAAATTCTGGATTGAAAGGAAGTATGCAAAGCAAGACATGCACCTGCTAGTTTGTCCAAAGAAACGTACTCAGGAGGATCACAATGGTGGGGAAGTCTCTGGTCCTCATCGGTCTCGTTCATGTACCAGGCCTGGATGGTTGCCTCACCCTGTCACAAGAAGAAATTCTCACAAACATCATCAAGAGCTAATGATGGGAAATAGCCAAGTACAAACACAAGAATAAACATGACTTTCTCAAACTTTAGTTGTCTATTCTACATATATTAAGCCACAATTAAAGGTAGGACGCATAGCATTGAGCCAAATATGGACACCTGCCTAAACAAGACTTTCCATGGGGCAGGCCTGGGCCCGAAAGCAAGAAACAACAGCTAGCGCGAAAGCCGTTGCGCTAAAGCGCATCTGTTTTCTTGCTTGTCTTCACTGGCTCGAAAGCACTCAAACTTTAGTTGTCTATTCTACATATATTAAGCCACAATTAAAGGTAGGACGCATGGCATTGAGCCAAAAATGGACACCTGCCTAAACAAGACTTTCCATGGGGCAGGCCTGGGCCCGAAAGCAAGAAACAACAGCTAGCGCGAAAGCCGTTGCGCTAAAGCGCATCTGTTTTCTTGCTTGTCTTCACTGGCTCGAAAGCACTCAAACTTTAGTTGTCTATTCTACATATATTAAGCCATAATCAAGGGTAGGATACATGGCAATGAGCCAAAAATGGACACTTAAGAGAAACTAGCAGGTGCATGTCTTCCTTTTATAGAGGTAACTAGTAGGTGCAGGTGCATGTATCAAGGAATAGGTTTTAGGATCTCATCCATCTTGCTAAGTTAGTAATTCATAAATTTGATTGGTTTATAGATATAAATATAGGGTTCTTACTTTAAGAAGATAACTTCTTTTCTATTATTACTTTAAGAAGATAACTTCTTTTCTATTAAGAACATTTACCATGTTTTTACCACCAAACAATACATGCACAACATACAAGGAAAGAAAAGAGCACAAAAAAGGACAAGACAACTCATAAGTGTCTATACCACGTCAACAGTACTTGAAAATTCAATTCTTGCTCCTGTACAATTTTATCCTTAAAGTAAACAAAGGGAATATGGAGGCTGATGCAGCAATGAATGGGTCAGCCGATGTATTGAGTAATAATTTAGGATAAATTATATAAAGGAGCTTCATTTGAACATTTGACAGAAGAATCATGTGAAAAGTACAAAGCTGAAGAGGAATTATGTTGTCAACATGCATGCAATAGAAAGTTAAGATAATTAGAAAGGCTATACAAGGACATAAATGTCTGAAATGACAAAAAGACATACAAAATTGATTATTACTATACTATCATATTGAAATTTGCAGAGTGCACCACCCCAAAACATCAATGTGCTCAAGTACAAGTAAAAGATTTGGCATCCCCATTGATTAGTAAAGTTCAACTTCAAACAAATCCATAGAAGCTCCATTTATCATCGTCATCTAAGCCTTATCCCAACTATTTGGGGTAGGCTATAACATAGGTTCAGGATAATACACACACACATACAGACTCACAGAGAGAGAGAGAGAGAGAGAGAGAGAGAGAGAGAGAGAGAGCTACAATACACTCTAGTAACTACTTACTAACGTCCTGTTAGATACAAACTAAGTAAATTACACGACCAAGAACTAAACCCTAACCCCTACCCACCCT